GTTCACTGCCCTCTTCACCATTAGGGCTTCAAGCCTGAGCCTGCAGAGAGCCATGTCAGTTGTGGTATTACATAATATCACCCCTGAGCCCTTCCGTGTCTCTTCCTCTGCTGGCCTCTGAACCATCACCTACTCCTCTCCGCATGTAGCAGACGTGGCTTATTGGGATTTTATGTCTTCTTGCTTCTTCCATGCTGGTCTGGCCTCTGCCTTTCTCCTGCATTATTGACATTCTAGGCTAAGCTCCATCAGCTGGAGACACGGAGGTCTCCTTCAAACAAGGCCTGTGACAGTTCCTGGGAGGCCCATTCTTCCCCCGCTGCTGGGCGCCCATGGAAGTCCATGCTTATTCACAGACAGTGTGACCTACATGCTCACGGGGCAAGAGACTGGGGCTTATCTTGTAACAGCTGTCTTAAGCTGGAGCCCCAACTCTGTGAGTTGTAGCACATCCATTTTGGTCACTAAGCCCAAGGAAACCAACGTAATGGTGAAAAGGTAATAAGTTATTTTAATCTGGTGGCCAATTTGGAACCACAGAAATTGAGCATTTCAGCTCCCCTTTTGGATCCTGATGTTGACAGTAGCTTTAAACAGACGGAAAATTGAGGTGTAGGAGGGAGAGGTAAACTGTGCTTCCGGTATGTCAGTGCTGGTTCTGAAAGAAAGTCATGGATAAGTCCCTGTCCCCTATGCAGACAGCCTAGTTTCTAAAAGGTGACTGTTTCTGCTTGGGGGGGGGGTCTCAGTATGGGGTGATGGCAACACCTCTCTGCTGTCCCTGGGATCCAAGGTGGGTTTGGGACAATGACTGGAGCCTTTGCAGGGCTCCAGGGAAGGAGGCTGATGGTAGAATGTCTTTGCTTCTCTTACCCTTGTGCCCCTGGCCTTTCATACTCGACCCCCGTATGGCTGGGTTATAGAGGGACTCCGTAACTGACATGACTCCTGCAGCATAGAGCAGATGTCTGACTTAAATTGACAGTTTCGTGCAGAGAGTTTATACTGTTTTCTGTTTTGTTTTTTAACCTTTGTGGGTCAACATGAGGAGTTAAAGCTCCAAGCAGGTCTCAGTGCTTGCTAAGGGCTGGCAAGATGGCTCAGAAGGGAAAGACGCTTGCTGCTAATCCAAATGACCTGAGTTGGGTCCCTAGGATCCACATGGTAGAAGAAGAGAAGCAATTCCTGAATGTTGTCCTCTGATCTTCACTTGGGTTCTGTGGCTTCGAGTCTTCATTCTCAACCCATACTTTCCTGCAACACACACACACACACACACACACACACACACACACACACACACACACGTGTGTACCTGAATAGAGTATAGTAATTTAAATAACCTAGTAGTGATTCTGTTCCATCTTCTCCAGAAGAAGCCAGACAGGCTGCAGAAGGGAGGTCGCCTGGACTCTTGCCTGGACTGAGGGGCCACTGTCCAGCTGCACCATCTCTCCTGGCTGGCAGCTGTTTGGGGGTTAGCTTGGGTCACGGGATAGGGAGAAGTCCACAGTCGCATGGCCCCGATTCTGCTCTTCCTTCTTACCTAGAGAACTGTCGGGAACTAACCCGGAACAGGAGCGGCGCTGGCTTCCATCCCTCCTTCCCCGTTGCCCTCTGCCAGGAGCCATGCTCAGTGTGGGTGGGGAGAGTCCCAGGGGCTGGTTGCCTAACGATTTGTGTCGTTGTTTATTTAAGCAAATTGACAATCTCAGCCTCTGCAGTGGCTGCACCAACAGCAGCTGGAAGGATTTCTTGTGTTTAATTTTCTTTTTTCAGATATACTCTCTGTGCCTATTTAAATAAAACAATGTAATGACACTTAGCTTATTCATAGATGAATCCCCACATCCTCAGAGAAACTGTATTCCTTAGCCATCTATAACAGCAGCACCTCCACCCTCCCTCTGAGTTTCCAGCAACTTCTCACCTAATTTCTATCTCTTCAAAGTTGCCTTTCTGAACACAGTTGTTTTCTAAAAACACAGTCGTGCAATATGGGGTTCTCGGTCTGGCTTCTTTCACTCATCATTCGGCTTTCAAGGCTCCCTTACGTCTTAACATATGTTCAGTTCTATGGCCAAATGCATATTTTATTATTTGCTACTAGCCTTTGCTCAGTAGATTAAGGCTTGTTCTGCTTCCATTTTGGATGCTATGGAATTTATTGACACAGTTGCTTGTGTATGTGTGTGAGTGGGCGTGTCCACCTGTTCTCATTTCTGTTGAGTATATACCCGTGAGGATATGAGTAATATTTTCATAAAAGGAGTGGAGTGAAAGATAGTTGGTGGGGTGTTTGAATGGAAATGGCCTCCACCAGCTCATAGGTAGTGGCGCTATTAGAAAGGATTAGGATAAGTGGCCTTGTTGGCATGAGTGTGGCCTTGTTGAAAGAAGTGTGTCACTGGGGGTAGGCTTCAGGGTTTCAGACACTCAAGCCAGGCCCAGTGGTTCTCCGTCTCTCTCCATCCTCCTCCTTTTCTCTCTCCCTCCCTCCTTCCCTGCCCTGCCTCTACCTGTTGCCTGCAGATTCAGACATAGAATTCCCAGCTACTCTCCAGCACCATGTTTGACTACAGACAGCCACGCTTCCCACATGATGCCAAGGACTAAACCACTCCCCATCTTCCCTCCTCTTTCAGTCTGTGCTCTGTAAGCCAGCCCCAATTAAAAGCTTTCCTTTATAAGAGTTGCCAAGGCCTTGGTGTCTCTTCACAGCAACAGAAGACAGACTAAAACAGGAGGGAATCAGTAGTCATTACTGAGTCTCTGCCTGTGGCTAAGCTCAAGGGTGGAGACTGGTGAGAAAGCTGGGCGTGGAGGTGCCACACACCTCCAATCCTGGCACTGGAGAGGTGAGCTAGGAAGACTATATCAAAGGCTGCCCTGGGCTTGGGATGGATGATAAGATCTCCTCCCTGAAACAAAGTAAAGAAAAACAGTAGCAGACAGATGGAGACAGAAATGGGGAAAGAAGAGGGAAGGAAAGAAAAGGGTTTGATAAGAGTAGAGCATGATAAGCAGAAAGGGGAGTTAAGTCTGAGAGACATTCCAGGTAAAATCATGGAGTTCTTTGAAGACCCAAGTAAAGGAGTCCGCATGCAAATGTAATAATAACAATTGCTACTCACTGTGCAATTGTAACAATCCATTAAATAGAGCAACCTTACAAAACAAAGGAGCGTTCCCATCACACACATGGTGTCATTTATGCAGAGTAAATTGCCCAAGGGTACCTGCTGTTTCATCTCAGCAAGTTTCAGAACTTACTTCCTTCCTTCCTTCCTTCCTTCCTTCCTTCCTTCCTTCCTTCCTTCCTTCCTTCCTTCCTTCCTTCCGTTCCCAGCACCCACATGGCAGCTTTATCCAATTCCAGAGGTTTTGATGCCTTCTCCTGACCTCCTCAGGCACCAAGCTCACATATGGTGCACACGGATATGTGCAGGCAAAACACTCACACGCATAAAGTGAACAAATGTAAACGTTTTTAAAGATTGTAACCTACTGTGAACAGCACTAGGCCACGAACAAGTCTTCTGATGCTTTGATCTAGACTCCAGAATTTTGAGAAATACCTTTCTGTGCTGACTCAGCCTCACCACAAGCAGCTGGTGCAACCTTTTCAACCTCTCCACACCTCGTCTTACGATGGATCCAGGAGGTACCCCCCACCTAGAACCCCAGTAAGGGCCCAACAAACTCTCTTGTGAATTTGTTTACACCTATTCTCTACCCTAACTTCTATTCCACACACTGGCCCTTTAGACTATTTTGGATTAAAATGCCTGTCTATGCTTTCTATCCAAATTCCAAATTCCTGAGGGCTGGGGGTGGGGCTCAGGAGGAGACTGTCTGTTTGACATATACAACACCCGGGGTTCAAGCCCAACAAAGCAAACTTCCAACTCAATAGGCAGGAGACACTCACTAGCATGTTCTGGACGTGTGGGCATGGGAACAGGATTGCTCGCTGGCTCCTGCAGAGCCTGCCTAAAGACCACATGTAGGGCTCATATGCTAATCCACAATTCTGTGTGTTTGTCTGACAATGTTGCCAGAGCCCGTAGCCCTGGAGTCCATAGGCAGTGAAGACTTTCTGAGCCACTGGCATGTGACTTCTGGACAGAAATATGTAAGAGGAGAGACAGGTCCCACCCACACCTTTGGCTCATGGCCTGGGATTGGAGCCTAGGTTCCCCTTCCCAAAGGCTGGGAGGAATGAGAAGGGAAGAGGAATACCAAATGACAGGCAGCACCTTGGTTTCTGGTTCTCTCTTGTGCTTCTGCCCAGTGTTTGCAGTGTGTGTGGAATCACCCTAGGTTTGAACTCAACCCTTACTATTGGACTACAAGCTCTCCCTCTTCCAAAAATGAATCCCTGGTGTGCCCCCGAAGTCAAAGGTTGACGGGTAGACAAGAGGCTAATAGTAATAAGAAGAGGAGGAAGAACAAGATGACACAAGAGGGACCAGAAGATTACATCCAACCAATGGCAGCGGTGGTTTGAGGTGGCACCAACTCTTCTTTGACTGACAAGGCCAGAGTTGACAAAGCATCCTTAGCAATTTCTCATGATAAAGAGCAGGGGCGGGCTGTTGGGATGCTGAAGCACCCCATCACTCTGGCTTAGTCCCAATCTGGCTGCATCATCTCCTGGCCTCCTCCACACTCACCTCAGCCCAGGCCTGCCCTTAGGCCGGCCAGTTCCGCACACCTTGTCCCTTACTGGCAGCAGATAAAAGGGATGTTAGGAAATAGGATCCAGTCATTCAGTGCCAGCCAGAGCCTTTAAATCTGCCTATCTGGGAGAGGACCCACACACACCACGGGTGAACTTGGGCAGCCGCCCTGTGTGGAAGGCACAGGGGGAAGTCCTGTGGCAACACCTAATTTGTTTTGCAGAAACAGGTTCTGTGGCAGAAGCCTCCTCTGTCCCACAGCCGCAGACGCCACAATTTTCAGTCCTGGGAAGAACTTCTTGGCATCCCAGAGGCAGCATGCCAGGGAACTTGCTGCAAGGAGAGGTGAGCTTCCATGCAGTGGATCCCGCCCAATGCCGGCCCAGACAGAGTCTCTGGTAAATCATGTGGTGTGGAAGAGCTGAGGATTCCCAGAGGGATTTACCCATCTTTTAAAGCCATGTTGCCTTCCGCTGTTTGAGGACGTGGGACGTGGGACGTGGGACTATAATCTAAAAACTTGATCATCCAATGTTTTTTCTTTCTTTTTCCTTTTTCATGTGTGTTTGTACTGTGCCTGTATGAGAATGCAGGCCTACATGTTTATAAGCACATGTGTGTGGGGGGGGGTATAAATTCATGTATGTTTATGTATGTGTATATGAGTGTAGGTACCCCAGGTTGACATTGGGGGTCATCCTTGATCATTTTTAAGGTTTATTTATTTTCATGTTTTATGGGTACAGATGCTTTCCCTGCATGAATGAGCACTGCATTCATGCCTGGTGCCCATATAGGCCAGAAGAGGGCACTAGATACTCTGGAACTAGAGTTATGGGTGGTCCTCAGTCCCCATGTGGGTGATGGGGACTGAACCTGGGTGCTGGGCAAAAGCAGCAAATGCTCTAAATAGCCCCATCTCAATGATTCTTCTGTTCTTCCTATTTGCTGGAGTAGATTTTCACAGCCAAGCCAGAGCTCTCTGATACATTTAGTCTCACTGGCCAGCTCTGCCATCCACTGGCAGCACATATTTCAGTTCTGGAGATCAGAACTCTGGTCCTCATGCTGGCGTGGTAAGCACTTTAACCTCCGAGTCATGTCTCTGGCCTCCAAGTTGTGTTTCTTGAGCGTGTCAAAAATAAAAACTATAACAAATTTACAGATCTAACTGGGGAGAGTTCAGTTCTTCAAAATATGGGGAGGGCTCCTGTTGAGCAACTGCCAAAACCTAGATTTGGCAAGATAGACATTTTTTAAAAATGAAAAAGAAAACCTTAAAAATGCGCTTAGCGCACATTTGTTGCAGCCTGGTCTCGAGGTTTTTCTCTGGAGAAAAGCTATGCACTCTAGGCCTCTGCGCATTTGTGTATGAGAACACTGAGCATACCCAGGCTGAACACGTTGGTCAGAGAAAATCTCAGGAGTTGGTCCTTACCTTCTATCTTTTGTGGTTTGTTGTTGTTATTTTGAGACAGACTCTGTTTTTCCACTTTGTATGCCAGGCTAGCTGGCCTGCAAGTTCCTATAGAACTTCTCCTCTCTCACCTTCCTGTAGAAGCGCTGGCATTTACAGACAGTTCTGCTACCGTTGCTGGCTTTTTTTATGCGGCTTCTGTGGATTTGAACTCAGGCCCTCACACTTCCACAATCAACGGGGTTAAAGAAAGGATCCCCTACTGTATTAGGTGAAGTGGGAATTAATATATGTTTTTACTGTTAAAAAAATAGTTTATAGTCTTGTTTTTGAGATTCTCGGACAGTTATGGGCTCATACCCGGCCAGGAATAAGTTCAGATCGAATATGCTTTAGCTCAAGCAGGAGTTGCTGCGATTTTCATCATTCTCATTTGAAATATCTCTATTTAAAGAAACGAATGTTGCTTCTGGGCATGTGTTTGTGGTTAGGCAAATGTTGAGAGTCCTTCAGATGTGTGTGGCTGGGGTGAGCATGGAGATAACAGGTGAGTTATGTAGAGACTGAACCAGTGTTTGTCCCTTTTTAATAATCTGTCTTAGTCCAGGTGTGCTGGCGCGAACCTGTAATCCCAGCGCTCAGGAGGCAGAGGGGCAGTGCCCTGTGAATTTGAGGCCAGCCAGGTCTCCAGAGTGAGTTCCAGAACAGCCAGAGCAATGCAGAGAGAGCGTGAATCAGAAAACAAAAACTAAACAAAACAAATTCTTTGGTTTTGTTGTTGTTGTTGTTGTTCAGTGTTATTACAAATTACTTTCTCCAGAGACAAACCTTAAAACCATGTAGATGGTCAAAAGTTAATCTTTGTTCATTCTCTTTTAATATGTTTCTTTCTCTGTGTGTGCCTGTTCATGTGTGTGAGTGCGTGGATGCGTGTGCGTGTGCGTGTGCGTGTGAATGAGAGTGTTAAGGCTCATGTGGACAACCTGCAGGCATCCATTCTCCCTCCCACCATTTGGGCCCTGGAGAAGGAACTCAGGCCCTCAGCCTTGGCAGCAAGTGCCTTCACCTGCTAGACCACCTGTTCTTTCTCTGTTTTCTTTTTCATTCGCATATATTAATTTATAGATAATATGCTTCATTGTGACATTTTTCATACACACATACAATGTATGCTGATAACCCTTACCTCATTGCCCTCTCTTGTTACACCCCAACTCTATTTCCTCATTCCTCTTACCCAGTCCCCAAACTACTTTCATGTCTGTGATGACCAGTTTACTTAGAGCCGCATATATGAGCATGGGTGAGGGGTTGCTCAAGGGAATATGGACAGTTACCATTGGCCTACACCAGCAGAGAAAACCCAGCCCAACAGCCATTAACTGTCAATAGCTCCCCGGGGAGGGCCAGGGCCTTAGAAGTGCCTATCAGCAGCCACCATGGAGACATTCTCAAGGAGAGGGCCCTGTGAACCTTGCCTGCCCCTTCCCTTTTTCTTTACCCAGTTGAGGCTCCCTGGGGACTTGGAAGGAACCTCGTGGCTCCCTTAGTTTTCCTTCTGTCAGTGGTGTCAACTGTTGGGATGCTTAGGGTCTTGCTGACTGGGTGTGGTTTACCTTAGAGGTTCTGAGGCCATTTCCCTCTGCAGAATGCACGCTGACCAGAAAGACTTCAACCTTTGGCGTCTCTAAGTGTCTCTGATCAAGAGGAAGGGTGACTTAGTTGAAGTAGCATCCTTTCAGAGGTGCCTTGTCACGCCACTGGGACTGGATGACCTGGGGCACAAGGACAAAACATTGGCTATCCTCTCACCTCCTTTGTCCTCATGGGCTTCAGCTGCTATGTAAGGTTGTGGACCCATGTGGGCAGCCACAGCAGTCTTAGGGAATTAAAAAAAAAAGACTTCTCTTTTATGTATGTATGTGTCTGTAGGTGGCTTATGTGACTTGTAGTCAAGTGCTGATGAAGGCCAGAAGAGGGCGTCAGATCCCCTGGAGGTGGATAACAGCTGTGAGCCCCCTGATATAAGCACTTGGAACTGCCAGTCCTTTGCAAGAGCAGCAAGCACTCAATCTTGGGGTTTCTACTGCTGTGATAAAAAGACAGGATGGTTAATTGGCTCAGCATGTTGTATAACATGTCTTGATCCTGCCTTGAATCTGTTGAGCCAGTTCACAAGCAGGGCCCTGCTGACGGGAGACAAAAGCCAGCGGGACCTTTGTTCGAAGCTGCCAAGTTTTAAATCTCACGTTAGGAAGGGTAGGAAGAAGCTGGCCATCTTGGAAGTTCGCCACCTTTATTCCCTAGCCTGGGCCCCTCTCCCTGTCTACCTGCCTATCACAAACCTATCTAACCTAGTCTCACTCTGAGGATAATTACCTATCTAGGTGAGTAGCAGGCTATTAAGATTACCTCTTATAGGAAGGAACAGTTTGTTCTTTATTAGAAAGAAAGGCTTGGGCTAGATAATCATCCGAAAATAAGAATTAGCTGGGATAGGGGTGCATGCCTTTGATCCCAGCATTTGAAGGCAGAGGCAGGCAGATCTCTAAAAGTTGGAGGCTAGCCTGATTTACATAGTAAGTTCCCAGGCAGCCAAGCCAGGGATATATAAAGAGACCGGCCTCAGGGGGAAAAAAGTATTTGTCAAGTTTTTGTCTTGTAACAGGGAACCCACCACTCAGGCACAGCTTTTAGCCTACTGAAAGTCTTTATCCCAGCTGGCTGGGACTACACTAAAGTACTCAGGTATTAGGGACTGAAGCGTAGCATCAAATGTCCAGAGTACAGCACAGGAAACCATGTCCTGGCATCTCTCTCCTGCTCCTTCGAAGAAGCAAGCAGTTTAACAGAAGCTAAGATAAGCTGTTAGCTGGACAGAGTTCCATCCACACAGGCAGGCAGTCTAACAGAAACTAAGATAAGCTAGCCGGGGCCTCTTGGCCTAGGGGTTCCTAGAGTAGACTTGGCTAATTTTCCATTGAATTCTCCACCGGGGAGATCAAACTCATTAAACCTGAAAAGATCTCAGCAAGAATATTAGAAGGAGGAACCTCTGCACTGTCCTGCCCTGTCATGGTCTATTAGCAACCTAACCAGGCATTCAACATGACACACCTCCACCTAGGAACAGGTAGAGGACTCAGAACCTGATACTTTGTTTATTTGGTTTTGATTTTGGCAGCTTTAATCCATGGTTTTACAGACTATTTTGAAGAAGGGTCCAACCACAACGACCTCCATGCCTGCTGATATTTAAGTAGCCACCCAATACTACACAGCCAGCCTCATTCCTGATGCCAGAATTTTAGGGAAAAACCTCAGCTCTAGGGGTCCCACTGTAAATATTCCGGCAGGGAGAGATATACCAAATACGCAACATTGTCCTTCCCTTTGGCTATGTATCCCAAAGAGTAAAAAACTTCCCAGGAACCGATGCTGAGAGAAGGGAAAAGCTGCCTTCTAAGAACAGATTTCACACAGCGTTGACAATGGTGGGTCAATGCTAGGGCATATTGCACCTGGCTAGGACTGTTTAATATACACATCTCTTTCCTTCTCTTTAAATATAAGCCTCATGTCAACACTCACAAAGATGGAGTCGGGTGAGGCAATATGTGACTGGGTTCTGTTTGATTAAATAAGACGGAGTGAGCTAATGGGGGAGCAAAGCTATATTATATAAATGCAGGTTTATTGGGAGCATTCATTATTGAATGAATGGCAGGAGGAGTCCGAATACTCTAAGGCAGAGGCTCTCAACTTTCCTAGTGCTACGACCCTTTAATACATGATGATGCCCAACCGTAAATGATGATGATGATGATGATGATGATGATGATGATGATGATGATGATGATG